TTCGGTTCTGTTACTCAGGCGTTCCTTAAAAGCGCATATTTCTAACACGAAGCTTAGATAACGCGATTTATTTACAAACCTACACACAAACCTCAGCTAGCTAAAGGTTCATTTTGATCTCAGAATGTACTAACTATAGCTAACCATAACTGAACGATGTCGCTGACATTGGCTTTTGACCGCATAGTCATTATCATTACCAATAATAAAGTTCTTTTAAACAACCTACCGGTCATTTTCGAGTGGTTAGAACGGTAGCCAGGAGCATTTGTCAAGTGTTTTGGCTGCCCTGCTCACCATCTGCGTTCTCTTCTTCCTTTTAAAGTGCCCCCTATTCTGCGCCTTTCGAGTGATCCACCACCCCCGCCCCTTTCCGCTGCCGTCTTGCATGATCCTGCATGCAAACAATCACTCAATCCGCACAACGTGTACCTGCGTAGCCAATGGGAACAGGCCTGCCGCGTGGTAGTCGCCTTTCCTCCCGTTAGGTTGTCTAAATTCTATTGGAACTGGAGTCATCCGGAGCACGCCCTCCGATTGGCCGATTCGAAGATGTTGGAGGATGGGTCGCAGCAGCAACAGCCCGTTTCTGCCAATGCTCAATTACCGGCGGAAGAGGAGGCGGAGGATGGGAACTGCGCCGGACTAATAATCGAACAGAAGGAGAAGGAGCCAATGGAGGGCTCCGTCATCTTCTGGTGTCATGCCGAAAATGAGGTTGGTGGGTCGGAAGTTTGGTGGCCAACTGCTGACAACTCAGATACACGTAAGCTTTGCATTCGCTAACTTCTTCTATCGCTCACGACATTTTGTCTGATTGTGTTCACGCCTCCTTTAATTGTTCCACATGCCACACTCCACCAGATTGCGCTCCAAGACGGCTTTACGGAAATGAGGATCCCATTGTTCAGTATATTTAATCGGAATCAGTGCGAAGATGGCCACGTTTCGTTGCTTGCTTTTTTACACACAAAAGTGGAATCCCTAAAAATTATAAGATAGCATAGCAGAAGTTGATAGAGATGAGCGACGAAATAAAAGAACTAAACAGTGTTTTTTTTGCTACTCTTCAAGTCAAAATATTGTCCAACTTGCCCGCATCTCAAGCTGACCAAATGGATTATGTTCTATGGGTTTCGGATTGAAACCCGAACCAGTCATCGGAAGTAGGAACGGATGCGGGTACTTGAC